GGGGGGGGGGGGGGGGGGGGGCAGTGGAGGAGACACTGGTAGAAGGGTTCGAGGCTTGAAGGTATTTTTTTTTATTTTTAGAAGTCGGTTGTTTGAATGGAATTGGAGGGAATTTGGTGGTGAAGAATTTGTTTGTTTTTTGTGGGAGGGGGTTGTGGGGGGAAGATTTTTGGCTGATGTGAGGGTTGAAATTGTTGACATTTGGGCAGATTTTAGATAGGGGGGGGTACGTTCTCAGGCGGGATCATTCCGTTTTGGACACATTCCCGGATGGGCAGATTCTGATAAAGTGGTTGAGAAGGGCTCGGTATTGGAGATGTCTTCAGGAAATGTACTTCCAGCCGACGTGTTTAGTACGGCGGCACGGTGAAAGACGGCGGGATTATTCTCATTTCAAGCGGAATAAAGGACCCTTATCTACGTGCTTACCATTCTGCACGGGGGCACGACTCCTTTATTTTCCCTCCCTTGGTGGGAAATATACTATTTTCACAAGAGGCCAAAGTGTCAGATCTTGGATTTTTCCCGGGGTAAAGTCGACTTTCGCCAAAATCGAATTTTTTAGCCGGGTGAACGTTGATTTCGACTATTTAAGCGACGGGCTATTCAGAACTCTCAAAAGTATGTGGAAAAAGTGAAAACTGAAAAAAAAAATTTTTCACCCGGACCCAAAGGGGTCAGATCTTGGATTTTTTCAGGGGGAAAGTCGGTCGAAGGGTCACGAGGGCCAAAGTGTCAGATCTTGGATTTTTCCAGGGGGAAAGTCGACTTTCGCCAAAATCGAATTTTTTAGCCGGGTGAACGTTGATTCCAACTATTTAAACGACGGGCTATCCAGAACTCTCAAAAGTATTCGGAAAAAGTAAAAAACAAAAAAATGTTTTTTCACCCGGGGCCAAAGTGTCAGATCTTGGATTTTTCCAGGAGGAAAGTCGACTTGCACCAAAATCGAATTTTTTAGCCGGGGGAACGTTGATTCCAACTATTTAAGCGACGGGCTATTCAGAACTCTCAAAAGTATTCGGAAAAAGTAAAAAACAAAAAAAAATTTTTTCACCCGGGGCCAAAGTGTCCGATCTTGGATTTTTCCAGGAGGAAAGTCGACTTGCACCAAAATCGAATTTTTTAGCCGGGTGAACGTTGATTCCAACTATTTAAGAAGAATCTGCCCATCATCTGAGAGTGTACAAACGACCCCCCTCCCCATTTCAGTTCCTGCAGCCTTCAATTTCGGATATATTTAATTGACTGCTCACACGAATAGTGAATATTCTAAGCAAAATGATATTTATAACATTTCCAGAATTTTCATCATGATATAGCATATTTTGTCTTTCTAATTTATGAAAATACTAAATTCTCTCAAGTGATCAACCAAATGCCGTTGAATTTCTACCAGTGTCATCATTTATCAGTGTAAATTCTCATTCTAAACTACACATTTCCATTCGATCTCACGAAAACGTCTGCATAATTCCACTTCACTGAACTAGCTTTAGATGAAACAAATGATGCAATCATTCATGATAAGTCCACGTGATAATTTTTACCTAAAATAATAAAGGACTATTACTTTAAAACGTTGTATTCACTGTATGTCTCGAACGAAATATACAGAACAGTCAAGTGAGCTCCCAAATTTGTGCGACATTATTCAGAACTTCATCAGGAGAATTCTTGTGGAACATGAAGAACCCCTGGATCTGGGCTGGACTCACGTTCCTCTTGAAGTTCATTACACTCTCTGCGAATTGTCTCGCAAGGGCTTGGGCATTCGTTCCTTCCGGTCCTCTGTAGAACCTGAGGAACATTTGCTCGAGTTGACTAGCACTGCACCAGCCTGAGAAATAAATCAATCATTCATTTTATTTTTTGAATCAAGGAAATAGTTGTCATCATTATCTGATATTTTAGTCATTTTAATTTAATTACCAATGTACTCCTTAACATCGACCCTCCCTGGTCTCACCAAGGCTGGGTCCAATCTCTCTAAGTAGTTCGTCGTCATGAATAGAATTCGAGCTTCAGTGGATGCTACTCCATCCAGACAATTCAATAGTCCACTGAATGTTACCCTGTTGAGTCCATCGAATGCAGCTTTCACTAGAATCAGAGCAGACATTTTAAGGATATCCAAGTATTTTGACTATTTTATCTCCAATGAAATAATTTTCTATTTTTGTTTTCGGACGTTTTACAATGAATTTATTATTTAAACTATTAGTATTATATTACTATTATTTATTGTTATTTAAATTTTGCAGGTCTGAATTTCGAAAAATCTGAAAAAACATTAGAGTTTACATTTAGCGGAAGATTTTTCAATTTTTCACGATAAAAATCATTTGTTTGAAATCGTAATAAATTTATTCATATTCAGAATTTTTCCAGAAGTCCATTTCATGCCTAAAATAATGAGGTTTCTGAGAGTTTAAACGATTTCAGTTATTCCTTTATAAACAAGGAATGTTAAAAAAAATAGTAATTCAGTGCAAAATGTAATTTGAATTTTTCTCACTCAATTTAATGGACCTATTTGATGATTGAAAATGTAGTCTGTACTAAACTGTGAGAGGAACTTGGACATCCTTAAAAAATCGAGAAAAATAGACGAAACGAAAATAAAGAATAGAATTTTCTCACTCTCTTTGGTTTCTGTTCGACTACTGAAGGCAGCATCAACATCCTCAAGCAGGATGATGGTCTGCTGTGGGGCCACTGCTAGGAGATGATTCAATCGATCATCAGTCAGTCCTCTCTCTGACAAGTTCAGGACGCAAATTCCTCGCTCAAGTTCAGCAGCTAGGGCTGTGATGAACGAAGATTTCCCACATCCTGGGGGGCCATGGAGTAGGTAACCACGTCTGTATGGAATTCCTTTAAAAAATATTGAAACTAATTTATTTTGTCCCCTTCCATGTTCATTCATCATTTCATTCCTCATTAATTTTTGTAAGAGAGAATTACCTCGATCACTGTACCATCCAGGATTCTCTATGAATTCCCTGCAATCCTTGACAATTCTGTCCGCAATTCCCTCGTCCAGAACCACCGAATCAATTGGTCTCTTCTTCCTGGGGTGTCCAAACTGCCTCCACTCACTGCCCATTGCTGTATACATTATTGTCTTTCCTTCGTGTTCCTTCAGAGCCATTTGTCTAGCTGAAAAAATGGGAAAAATTGACGATTTGAATTGAAATTGAATTTCATAATTATTTTTTTAGGGGAAGAATAGTCGGGGCTCAGGGGGCGTACCTTCCTCAAGAATCTCGAAATAAATACTCCTGTTATTTCCAAAAGCCGTCAGCACAACAGTCTCCCAAGGAATCCCCATGTGCAGATCAAGCGTCTGTTGCTCTCTAGTCCTCTCAACCCTTATCCAGTTGCCTTTATATCTTTTTCAATTAGTAATCGTTTTTTTCTATTAAAAATACGTGATACGAAGCTAGGGGAGTCACTTGCAGACCGGGGGAAATAGCAATACCTGAAGAAGTGAGTTCCAATACTCGGGATGAACTCGTATTTTGTGTTGACGGTTCCAGTGTCCTTTAATTCAAAACTAGTCTCCACCGATAGATGCTGGGTCTTTTTGGCGCCTTTGTAAGTTATCCATTGGAGAAGCCATTGATAACTCTTGTCTCGGCAGGGGACCTCCAGGGTTATCATGTAATGACGCCTAGAAATTTAGTTCTTCAAATATTTTTACGTGAAAGGGGAAGAGGTTACTGTTACGGGCACTTTCAAAAATTTTCGTTGGGAATTTTTAGCACATTATATTTCCACTGTAATTTTACGGAATTTTATTATTGGAAATTTAAATTTTGAGGACATTAATGGGAACTATAGATTTCAGTTCAATTATTTTGTAAAAATTGATACGAATCAGGAGAATTCTGATGAATGAATTTATGAATTTTCAATCAATTACAAGTTTAGCCTCATTTGGTACTGAATATTCATGTTTTTACTGAAAATTCCCATCAGCCTCCTACTGATAAATTTGGAATTGCATTGAATTTTTACTGAAATCTGAAATTTAATTATGTTCCCCGTAAATCGAATTTAATGTTTTGCAGGGGACCTCTAGGATTATTATGTAATAGTCTAGAAACTTAATTAATTCGTCAATTTTCATCTGAGAATGTCATCAAATATTCTATTACAATGACATGCATTGTTGAAAAATTTTGGCTGAAATTTCCAGTACAATTTTTGGGAATTTTTATCACATTATATTTCCACTGATATTTTATGGAATTTCATCATTGAAAATCTAAAACTTTATGAATTAATCAACGAAGACTGTAAATTACAGTTCATTTAGTCCATAAAAATGAATAGAAATCAGGAAAATTTATCTAAATATCTTCTTGGTACTCAACATTAATCGTTTTTTATTGAAAATTCCAGTAAATTGTGAAATTCTCATCCTCCGTTGCTCCAAATTTTAAAATTTCATTGAATGTTCAATGAAACCTGTCATTTCAATTTTTCTCTAACAGCGGGTGTATAATCTCATACTAGGGTTATCACAATATTATTGATATATGTATCCATTCAGTATCATTACTATATCCCCCAGAAATATTATTTTTCTGAATTTAAAATCCTTTATTCACGCCAATTCAACATCTCAAAAAGCCCGAAAAATCTCATTCCCCCCAATTAATTAATCCGCAATTATCCTCCCCCAACAAATGCAGTATTCACCTAAACAAAACCATTGCAAATTGGCTGCTCTTTCGGAGCACAGCAGCTCCGACCCCCAGTCCAGCCAATCCGAACCCAGCCCCGAAGTACGGATTGTCCGAGAGCGTTTGAAAATACTCCACAATCGTCATTTTCCCTCTTCCCCAACTCTCCCTCAAAAATCCCAACTGTCCTTTCCGTCACCCTCTTCGGTTTTAAAAACAACACTCGTAACAATTAAAAACAAAAAAAAAAACACTCGTAACCTCTTTCACCACCTCCACTCGCGTTTCACCAGGACCACAAGTCCCACGTGGTACATCGCCTCCGCCAGCCCTCGGCAAACCCGCGAGCGCTTTAACCGACTAACCAAACACGTCAAATCACGTACCGACGGTGTTCCCGTCACTCCCGACGTCATCCGCAAACAAAAATGTTTGAACAGATAACAGTATCTAATGTAAATAGAATCAGCCCAAACATCTCTCAAAACATATCATAACGTGTATTCAAACAAACGCGTCACCCCGCGTGAAATGAAAGCAAAACAAACCAAACCCCCTCGACAAATCACCGAAAACACCTCGGAAAACCCAGGATTAATTTCTTCAATTATTTTATTTAATGATTAAATCAACCATCCTCCGAATTAATTCATTATCTGGTGCATATGCAGTGGATGAGGGGCGGAGTCTGGATTTTTCCCACCTCAATTCTCTCATCGAATGAACTCCCACTCGCACGAGGGCGAGAGAGAGAGAGAGAGAGGGCAATAGCATCCCTTGAGTCGAGCACTCGAGTCACGCCGCGTGTTAAAGAAGTGGGGGTATTGTTTAGCGCCGGTTGTGCTTTAGTTGCCCGCTGACAGCGGCAGAGGGACGATGTGCTGTGGCGTGATGTGTAAAGGGGGTTTATAACTCGTGTTTAGTCGACAAACCATTGGATTTTCGGGGTATTGTCAATCCTCGTGCGGCTTAATTCTCATTCAGTTGTAGATTATCATGATACGTCCAGTGAATGCCACTTGAGTGCTCTTGAGTGTCTAATCCCGCTTCTGCATTCCCGTTGATCCTAGCATTTCATCGTTTTTTTTTTGTTTTACGTGTTGTGTTTAGTCAAACGGGTATTGAGAATTTTGTAAGCTGAATTAACGCCGTTGTCCTCTGTGCTGGGGTATGATTTCCATTGTTTGGTGATGGATGAGCCGAGAGGAGGGGGAGGATGTCACGCCGCAAACAGAGCAATCCAAAGCCCCTGAAACGTGAGTCTATTTTGCTTATTTGTTTTCGTGGGAGACGTGGAGTAACCGCATTCAATCGCTAATATCTCGGCATCGGCACAGGCAAAATCAAAGATTTTTATTCCATTTTGAAGGGCTTTTTCCGGGCTTCAAAATGAGCTCTGATTCGTCGAGATATCATCGCTGGATCAGGAGATATTGACGATGGGAACTGAATTTACTGTTGGCCAAATTTTTACGTTTTCCCGTATTTTACGTAGTATTCAATCGTCAGTATCTCCAGATCGGCAGAGTGAATTTCAAGACTTTTTTTTTCTTTTTGAAGGTATTTTTTCAGGCTGTAAAATGAAATTTGACTCATTCAAATCGCGTCGTTCAGTCGGGAGATATTGGTGATTGAAGGCCTATTTTACTCCACCTTCTCCTATCAGTTTATTTTGTTCATTAAACGTCGGGGGAAAACGGTTTATTTCTTTCTCTTCTTGTGTATGTCGTTCTGCGTTTGCTTTGTTGTCGGCTTATCCACCGGATTTGTTATGTATACGTGTTATCGAGCAGAACATTAGTCCTGGTCCTATCGCGCATGATAAATGCGATACCGACTCTCCGTGAAAGAGTTGACGAGCTACTTTTTTCTCGGGTTTTTTTTTTCCGATTTCTCCTGCGGGTTTTTCCGCACTTGGGGTGGGAACTCCGGGCGACACGTGGCCCAGAGGTTTCAACTATTCTGGCGGGAAATTCGGGGCGAGGGAGAGAATCGCGAAATTTTTCAATTTTTATTCGTCAAAAAATGAATTGATTTCACTCTATTTTTCGTCGCAGAGGGATTGTCGTCTCGTAATTGTCACGAGAATTGCGACTCTCTGGGGAAAATGCACCGCAGAATTGGGAATTTCAGCGGAGTGAAATGTAAAATGCAACGAAAAGTTTAATTACACTCTCTTTTCGAACGAATTACTCCCCCTTGATTTATAATGGCCCGTTAAGGGTCTTTCAACTGCCAAATTAGAGTCATAATTGCTGTCGATTAATGAGAGTTCCTGGTACCATAAATTGCTGGGGTAATTTAAGGCTATTGGACACGTGGACATTTTGATATAATTCAGGGTTTGAGGATTTAATGTTCGACCAGCACTGGCTATGGGTAGCATTGAGGACGTCGTGTCGTGGATACTTTCACGTGGGGGACTTGTGGAACAGGTCTCCAGTCTTTCTCTGTTATTTGTATTTTGTGGTTTTCTTAGTGCGAAAATATCGACAAAATCGGAAATAATCGGGTTATTCGGTTTTCCGATTTCTTTAATTTCGGGAAAATAATTAAAATTCTTCGGGCTTTTCGTTGACACAATTTTTTATCTTTTTTGAGTCGTTAAAATGTCATGATTGATCGAATATGTTGGATTTTTCTACAAGAAAAATCGTTTAGTCTGTGAAAAAATAATTTTTATTCTTCATTTTCATGCACAACATTTTTTATTCTATTTTTTGAGTAATTGAACGATGAGAATTGCGGGAAATTATGGATTAATCGTTATTTATTACGATTAATATTGTTTATTTGATATTTAATTTCTTCTATTTCATAGAATAATAAAAAATTTCTCGTTGTTTTCGGACAAAACACGGTTTATTCTCTCCGTCAAATTATTAAAAAATGATGATTACATGAAATTATGAATTAAAATTCTGAATTGCGTATGATTGAAACAAAATATTAAATTATAATTGTTTATTATGTTCAATATTGTTTATTTCATCTTTAATTTCTTACACTGTTGAAACAATTTGGCTAAATTGTCCGGAAACAGATCTTGAATTCGATTTCAGGGAAAAAAGTCAATGGAATTTCAAGTGTCTGAAAATTCAAGTAGTCTTAATTTTTTTTGCGGTAGGAACACGGAAATTCCACAATTTCCATCAATTTTCAACTGAAAATGAAAATTCACCGCCCAATTCCTTGAACATTCAGAGGAATCTTGAATTCAAGAAGAGATTTTCCTGAATTTTCCTCATTTTTCATTAATTTTCCCGGAGTAATTGACCTGAAATTACAATTCCCCCGGATTTTCCCCAAAATTACAAATTTTCAATGAAAAAATTTCTCGGAATTTCAGTGAAAAATGTTTATCAATATAAAACACCCGAAATCCCCTCGTTATTTTCCCACAACTCGTTTTATTCTCATTTTCAAGTAATTAAAAAATGATAATTAATCGAAAATGATGTACAACATTGAGGCATTGTGTCGAGTCTACCCGTACAGGTCAGGTTAATACACTACAGATATATTGGACGGTCGTGTTCACGAGTGCAGAGAGAGATGGCGAGCTAATTAGTTCCGCGTGTTACAAAGTTAATAACGCCACGCGGTTAATGTCGTCTCTCTTCCCATATTCTTCAGCCGTACACGGGCCCTCATTTCATCCGGTTCGTTGTTTCAATAGCACTGGCGATCGCTATCGCCTCTCGAGTAACATCGATCACACGATAAATTTGTCGATGGGATTTTTCGTGGAGGTGTGGAAAGGCATTAATTTTATTTCTACGATTGTTTTTTTTTTAATCTGCTTTCGGTGCGTGTATTAACATTTTAATGCTGAATACGGGCTTAGGTGCATCTGTGGAGTCATCGCATCGTGAGGGTACATCGAGGGCATCCTGTGGCGAGGCCGCAATCACCCCCCGGTGAGGCGACGCGTCAAATTAATAACCGATGATTTTATAGTGGGTCTTATTGAATCGTGTTCACGGATAAATAATAATCTGGAGACACCATCTTGTAATCTTGGGAATGGGGGGGAGAGGGGGAGGCGTGGGTGGGGATGGGATGATGTATGGCATCTAATCAGGTCGGGGGTGTGAAAAATCTCTCTGAGGTATTTTTGTTTGAGGGAATTTCACGGTTTGAACGGGGGGAAAAGGTTTTGATTTTCAGGGAAACGTCACTAAATTTAAAGAATCTAGCATTAATTATCAATCAAAGTATAAATATTCAGTGAATTTCCCTGATTTTTATTAATCCGCAGAATAATTGAACTAAAATTCACAGTTTCCGTTGATTTTTTCATGAAATTATGAATTTTCAATGACGAAATCCCTTGAAATTCCAGTAGAACTAGAATGCCATAAACATTTTCGGATGCTCTTGAAAATTAGTGACATGTCGCTCCAAATCAAAATCTTTTTTTCTCTGAAATTCCCAGAGGAAACGAGAATTTCCCAATTGACTTAAATTATCAATCAAAAAATTAATATTCAGCACCAAATTACACCGAATATTGAATTAATTTAACATTCAATAATATATTTGCTTGAATTTCCCTGATTTTTATTAATCCGTAGAATAATTGAACTAAAATTCACAGTTTGCATTGATTTTTTCATAAAATTTTCAATTTTCAATGACGAAATCCCTTGAAATTCACGTGGAACTAGTAATAAAAATTTCCAAAAAAATTTAATTCGGGCATTTACCCAATTAATAAACGACTTCAGAGAAAAATGTCATCTTTTAAAGACACTTAAATTTCCAAAAAAAGTCTTCCAATCTTTTCCCCTGAACCCATTTATCACCAAGAGAATTCGGGCCATGAAAAATTCAAAATATAACAATAAAATGCACCAATTTGACCATCTGCATTGCAAAAACGTCAAATAAAATTATCGTTTCCCCCCAATTGACGACAGAATTAACTCCAAAATGAAAAAAAATTGACTTCAGGAAAAAATGTCAAATAAAATTTGGAGCAGTTGTGTTCAATCGTTTTCTTCGTGCTGTTTCCCTCCACTTGACCACAGAATTAAATAAAAGGCAATAGTACAGATATCAGAGTCAATCTTTTTCGTCTCTCCACCGTTGGTGGCATTACACTGAATCTCTCTCACGGTCGTCACACGGGTGTCGGACAGAGTGGCTTTTTCCCCCCCTCCCCCTTGATTTTTTCTTCCCTCTTTTATTTCAACGTAGGGGATAAGGATTACAATAAAGGATCGGAAAGCCATGGGGTAAAAACGACTGGTGGATCTTTCGTCGTGCTGTTGGTGTGTGGCACGATGGCCGATGGAGAGTAAAGAGTCGCAAATCCCTCGTCGGTGTCTTTCTCGGCCTGTTCTGGTGTCTCTACCCTTTTTCCCTCTTCTTTCCACTTGTGTTAAATGTACACAGTGGTGTGTATGCGCGCCTCTGGTTCTCCACTTGGCCGCGTACAGTTTATCAGTGTCGATCGGTGGAGGCGGCCATCGGTGCACAGCCGAAGAAACTGGGGGGGGAAATGAAGGAAAAAATACGAGAGTTGAGGGAAATTAAATGAAAATAAGGAAATCGTTTAGATAATTTAATTTTTTTTAATTGTTGTCAATCCGGATTTATTTAAAGGAGCATTTTCATGGGAAATTAGAAGAAACGCAGGAATTTTGGATTTTTTTATCTTAAAAAAATAACAGTGGAGGAATTATTGAGAGAAAGGCAAAATATTAATTAATAATTCTCAATTGAAAATAAAAAATTAACTTGAAGGAAAATTTTGATGAAAAATCATGAGAAATAAGGTATTTTTCAACTTTTTAAATTTTTTATAATTGACAAAAAACAATATTTGAAAAATTACTGAAGAAAAATCAGCGCAAAATTGATGAATAATTCTTAATTGAAGGTGAATATTTAATCAAAATCATCTTCATATTTTTTATTCTAATTTTTAAAGTACATTGTTAGAAAAAAAATTGAAATTTCGTGGATTCAAGGGGAATAAATCATAATATTTCAGATTTCAATTAATTAAAAATTTAAGAATATATTAATGGGCATTTTCCTGATTTCTATTAATTTTTATAAAATAATGGAACCGTAGAATAATTTACAATCATAAAATTCCTTGAAATTTCAGTGCAGCCACAGCGTAATAAAAATTTCCGTCAAAAAATTTTCAATAGTACACATAAAATAATCTTAAATAGTTTTTGCGCACGAGGTATGTACGAGAAGGCGTAGAAATGTAGAAAACAAAACAAAATCACGATTG